GTGTTATAGGTTCGCAGCGCGTGTTGAACTTTCTCCCAGAAACTGTGTGTTTATTTGTCAGCAGTCGCATGGCGTACGGCGAAAGGGCTCGGAGATCGTTAGAAGGGTATGCGCGATTGTACTATATACGTTCTGTATACACTCTGCAGAGTCCCTCTCAATATTAATGTTCATTAAAACTTTGTCGGTCCGCATGCTACGACTCTACCGGGATGTTGGTTTTAATTAGGAAAACGCCATTAATATCTTTACTCCGCGATGTTGTACGCTGGAGTAGGCGGGCGATACGAGAGGAGCTTAAAAAAAATAAATAAATAAAACGCTGCACCGTCAACAAAAACGTATAATATCCGCCCGCGAAACAGGAAGTGTTGCATAGTGTCTTTGACGAGGTCCGTTTTAATGAGCGATAACTTTGATAGATACGTTCTTGGAGGTCTTGTATAATGGATACGGTAGTGCAAATACAAATACATCATCACAACACCAAAGACGACAGTGCGTAAATCACATGGTCTTGAAAGATAAGACGTTATGTTGAACCGATTTTACGTTATCTCCCGAGACCCCGGTACAGATCGTATACTTAGTAATACCGACCCTTAACCTACCATTACAGTATTCCATATTTTTCAAGAATTCGAGTGCGAACTCTTGCATAAATGTTCTTTTTATCACACCAAATTGTTGTCTTTTGTCTCTCACCCCCGGAAAGTTGAAGTCTTAATCAAAAATGTGAATCATTCATCCAACATGTGTTTTTATCAGCCAGCGCATGTATTGTTTGCCAGACTTAATTGATGACAGATTATTGATCACACTCAAAAAATATTATAGTTGTTAAGATTCATGCGAACCTTCAGATAATATTCGATTATTGTTCAAAAGCGTTACAGAAATCATATAAAGTAATATTTATCATAACTATATTATATTTATTAATATTGACTATTTTTCAAAATTTATAAAAATCTAAATTGTGTAATGTTTTTAAATGACAATTCTATTAATCTAAGGTATGAAAAACATTAAACCCATATAGTGTTTTATTTTCATTATAAAATAATAATAATATTACAGCTTCAATTTTTATTCATACTGTAGAACGATTAGATTTTACACAACACTCATGTAACGAAAAAAATTATATGACTAACTTAGAAACAAAATGAATAACTGTATCGTCGGTGTCGACACTGCTCGTATAGATCGGTCACACTGCATTTGTTATACGGTTATTAATTAGTATGAGTGGCGTACCATAATACAAGCAACATATTTAAACTATATCATTCATGGTAAAGGCTTTAAAGATCGGGTTAAATTACAAATATTGATGTTTAATAACCCGTAGAAGCATATTAAGATTATAGATAAGAAAAAAATTAAAAAAGAAAAACAATTCCCATCCAAACTCTAGACGATAAGTATTTCTGAGAGTACATAGTCAAATACAATATATTGTATTGTTGACGAAATCCTTTATTAGATTTTTCAAATACCGTTCACGCGTACCGAATAAAACTCGTACATCGTTTGGTCCAAATAAACACGGGTGTGATATCAAATAATAAAGTAATATTCGAATAAGTGTATATATCAACCGTTTCTCGGAATCTCAGTATAACTTGAAAGTGTGAAATGGCAATATTTCGAATGCGCACAATTAACATTAACATCCCCCGGTTTTGTCTAAATACCACTGGATTAGTTTGTATAATATCATTATGCATTCGGAAAACAAACCATGATATTACTGCAACTGTGGTATGTATGCAAAATTCACGTTGATTCACTGTCTCTCAATCTTTCTGTTCCAAAAAATTAAATTGATTTTCACACGTATTTACATATAAATACTGGTATATATATATATATATATATAGTAAACCGAAAAATACGGTAAATTAAATTGGACACGTCAGTTTCCAAATCCGTTTCCAATCTCGAAACGCGGCTTGTCGGCACGAAACCTTGATTATATATGTGTACTCAAGTACTTTTAGTCGTATACCGTGTGCTAGCGAAAAGTAATTAGCTTCTAGATGCGAATGCCACCACCAGCGTAATTAAAGAATCCGAGTATAAATGCGAGATCGGCTTGACAGCGGACTTACACCAACGATTCGTTTTTCATTTGGATTTTCTAATATCGCCTCTTTCACGGCGGTACACCTATTTTACGATATTGTATACTTGTCGGCTATACAATAATATACTTTTTGTAAAATAACGTTTTCACGTTATAAAACACATAAGAAATGTTTTCTTTCAAAATATCTTTCAAACGCGCACCGTCGCTTCGCCTATCCGACAAATACATTTTTTATTTTTACTTTTTATCCTCAATCGAGTTATTCATAATGTGCAAAATGTTTTTTTTTTTGATTCATCAAAATTCCAAAATCAATAACGTAAAATACACACACACACATACACACATACAATTTTTAAACGGAGTTGATGATTTTATTGTACTATTTAATCAACCAACACATTGCATATATTATAAAATTGCGATTTGACGATAATATTTCTTTTTATTCGTCATAATTGTACGACAATAAATCACTAGTGGATATAAAATATAATATTAGATAATAAATTGGACAGTTTGCCATTAAAAGGAACAGTCCACTATTGTGTCCAAAAGCAATTAAAGTTTTTATTTGTTTTTTTATTTTATTAATTATTTTTGCAGTTTAATTATAAATTGATGGATTTTTTTTTTCTGTCGACCGACAAACAAAATACAAGTTCAACCAAATAATTAAAGTCATTAATTAGGTTATCATGAATTACGTTAAACGGTTTTTTTTTTTATTATTTTTTTTTTCTGGAAAGACATTTTTTATCAAAACGAAACGAAATTAAACAAAATGTACAACTTTTCTACTGTTGCAGTTAGAACGAATGGCTTGTGTAAAATAAAAAATACATGCAATATATTTACAAAAGAAACTTTTATTAATACTTCAAACTGTATAATCTAAAGAAGAAACAAAAACTAAATAAATTAAGACAAATGCTTTTCAGTGATTGGAATAAAGGATGTTAGATGTCAGATAATAATAAAAATAAAATTAAAATCATTTTTAATTTCTTCGTTTGTTTTTTAAATCATTTAATGATAGTTTTTCTTTTACTGCATCGTAGTTCTGGATACAATTAAATAGAGGCACAGCTTATACACAGAACGTTAATTTTCTGGCAGTAATTTACTTACATAGATACATTTAACGATTCCATCGTGTTGCTTGATAAAAATATAGATTAAGAAAGATGAAGTGATTTTTTTCAAAAACATAAATTCATAATCATATTACTGTGTTTAAGGTTTCCGTTCTTAATAATAACTCTATAAAGCTATTGTCTTGATTCGAGAAACAAACGAATTTTTTTTTTACGTTTTATAAAATGCTAATTTTGTTGTATTTTATTTTGCTTGCTTTTTAACTTTGCTTGCTAACTCTACGCACCACCAGAACAATAATATACTGAAATGGATTTTTACTGTCACTTTTTTATACATTCAAACGAAGTATTTTTTTTTTTCTTCTTCTAAAATATTTACATTAAATAATTTCGATTCGTCTCGATTTATACGACCGATGTTTGAACCGCTGCTCTCTGTTCAAAAACATATGTTCAAATATTGATCTTCCCGACAACGGACTGTTACGCGTAAATACAACATACAAAGACTGTTGTTTTGCCGAATTCCCGAACGCTTTCGAAATTGATAAATTTATGCGTTCCACCACCCTGGGGTCTATGAGTTATCGGCAGCAGTGGCGGTGATCAGTAATGCACCGCTCTGTGCTCGTTTGTTTGTGTGTGAGAGGAAGGGGTGGCCAAGAGTGGATGGCAATTATGTAAATCTCCACAGGGAGGTCCGAACATTGGTATTGTGTTTTTCTAATCGACCCATTCCAGCAGACCCTATAATCATATTATACATTCTGGCGGAAAAATTACAAATTACCATTCGGTGTTTGGAAATAGTTGCACAGATTATCCCAAGAATCCGCGTATCGTTTATTATTCGCCATGTATACACGCTGCTGCTGAATCTAGTGCCGAAATACTATGCAGCTCGAGTCGTACAATTAAATTCCTACACAATCCTCCACCGCCATTCCAATGATCATAAAGGCAATAAACCGATACCGCGGGAACAAAAGCATTTACTTAATACACACATACATCTATACATATGTATGTATATATGACCACATTCGTCAATATATACTAACACGTTGATATTGTAATATTTTGCAAAAATGCAGATCTACTACAGAACGTTATTATTTAATAATAATAATAATAATAATAATTGTATAACGTTATATTATACGTATGATAATTATAAATTAATATAATTGAATATGAATATAAATAAATAAACCATGTTTAGTAACTCGCTCTTGTAATATCTATTCTAAATTATGGTTCGTTTATTTAAAACCCTTATCTTTAGATCAAAATTAAATCAATTGAACGAGAAGGAGAATCGGTTTCTGATTTTGGTAGGTTATTTACAGAAAAATTTACCATTATTTATCATTACTTTTATAAACCTGTCCTGAAATTTCTAAACACATTAGTTCTTTCAATATTAGACGACAGATAAAATATATGCGTATTTTACATTAATATACTTCTCAATCATATATAAGCATTGGGGATCTTATGGCAAAATTCAACAAGACCTTGTATATTCCGGCTCCCCATTCAACTTTTTTAATTAATTACTCTTTGTTAAGAACAATACATGATACTTAAATGATATTAATAATGATACTTTGGCTTTAAATATTAAGTTTTTAGTTTTACTTGTTTTTATTATTCTAATTACATATTTTATTGATATTTTATCCATGTTATGTTCTACATTTTATATTGTATTAGTTTTACAAGCCGAATAGCGTATATATATTTATTTAAAATTAATCAACTTGTTTGAATTATAATTGATTTATTTTTACTTGTTCTTTCAGAATCCGTCAAGAGAAGAACGGTGGTGCGTGGTGCCCGAAAGCGCAGATCAGCAGTGAAGTTCGGGAATACCTGGAGATCGATTTGGATGAAGACCATTTGATCACGTGGACCGAAACCCAAGGGAGATGGGGCAACGGCCAGGGACAGGAGTTCACCGAGGCCTTTACCGTGGAGTACTGGAGAAAGTCCATCGGCCGATGGGTGGAATACAAGGACTCAAGGGATAACAAAGTATGTAGTATCTATATGTTATTCGTGTATACTTATAAATATATCGTATAAAAAAACGATAATAATACAGATACTTAACATATCGTTGATTACATTAACATCATCGACAATATTTCTAAACAAGTTTATAGGTTATTAAACTAAAAAGTGATGTGGATGGCATCAGCACAGTCGTAATTCGTCTCCGTCAAAATGCAACTAGTTTCACTCTAAAGAAATAAACGTCAAAAACATTTGATACGTCTTCGTTGAATATTAGTTTTTTTTTTTTTATAATTCTACCGCAAAAAATATGAATTTTTTTGCGATAGAATTTCAAGGATTTCAAATTAAATTTCGAATTGTGCAGTGTTCGAAATGGAAAATTTTCTGAACCGTATCTCTTTTTTTTATTTGGAAACATACTATAGGATTTAGGGCTTTAACCCACCAAAATTATAATTTCCCCTTCTTGAAATACTAAGCATTTTTTAATACATATATTGTACCTACTATTTTGTACTGTTTTAGTCAAAATTATACTTTGGCAAATCATTTTTTTTCATCTCTGATGCTATGTGAATTGCTATATCCACAGATGTTTTATCAGAATGTAAAATATTTCTCATATTCATACCATTTAAAACTTGTTGATCTATTATCTATTTCATTCGGTAAATCAACAAAAGGCCTTGGAGTTTTTACAATTTTATAAATAATTCTTAAATCTTTTCCAGTAGTAGTGAACTACGATTTCAATAATATCAATAATTTGATTTCGAAACTTTTTTTTATTTGTTTTTTTTTTTTTTTTTTTGATTATTTATGTAATTCTAATGCTTTAAGATGAGCGTCGGATTTTTTGTGTTCAAATATTTTTTTTCTCAAACATTTAGGTTTCTTTTGACTTTCCATTCGAAATTATAGAACAAGGTATGGAAAAGCAGAGAGTTATGTCAACAACAGATAATCCTAAATTTGTTATATTTTTACAAATCAAGCAACCTAATGCTTTATTTTAAGTTGAAAAATTAACATACGTATTGTGTAAATAAAGCTAAATTACACTATCGGCGGACGGCGATTATCGTATAAATAAGCAATAAATGTACTTATGCATGTTTGACGTTTATTAAATATTTTACAATGAACAATTATGCAAAATATTTAAATATTTCCAAAATATGGTAGTTACAATAAAAATTTGTTTGAAACGGAACGGTAAACGTATTTTTTTTTTTTACAAACTGGAACGCTAAAAAAATTTTTGTCATGAACCGGAAACTATTTTCCGGCGCGTTCCGGTCCATTTCGAATCCTAGAAGTGTGCAAAACATAGTTATAACACGAATAGTGGTTTAATCTCCATATTACTCTTGAAAGGATTTATTTTATGAAATTCAATTATTTTATCAAAACATATTATTTTTAGCACATCACGTTAAGAATTGAAAGAAAATCACCTATCGAGCCTGGCTCTTAAATCGTATTCGAATCATGCAGTTATTCTCAATCTTGTCCACGTGTTATTTATTACTTCGTCGTAAATGTGACAAAGTACAGTAGCTTATAGAATGAAAATAAATGGCAAATTAATATCACTACAACACGTATACCCTTGCAACGGAAGCTAATTTATCGTGATATCGATTATTAAGATTATCGGAAGAAGATAAATAAATGTATTAACACAAAAAATAGAAACGTTATTTTGAAAATAATGTGCTGTACATTAATAAAAATGTCGAGATTCTTTTTTCCTAAAAACCTAGAGATTTTTTTCTGCTTTACCTCAATAAACTATAAACCATACATTTTAAATAAATTTTAACCAAAAAATGAGTTGTTCGAATAGATTTCTCATTGTTATACTTTCATGAAAATTTTTACATTATATGTATATTTTTTAATCGAACAATAGTGAAAAGCAATTATGATTTGGATAAAATTAAAATTAAACTTTATTAATATTTAATTGGAAAAAATAAATAACATTAGACTTATATTATAACTTATAAATTAACAATTAAAATGAAGTCTTAACACTAAAATTAACATAGAGTTCTAACTAGTTACTGTCCAGCTCATCTGTTTCATATTTTTATATTTTTAGACACAATTAGTTGTTGAAAATATGTTCAAGATCATATAAAAACTATTCTGTTAAACAGGTATTTCTTTTAATACTTAAAACGAATTATGTAAATATATGAAAATATAAACCATATTTTTTATTATCCAGTATCGACTATTGACAAGGAAAAATTACCACGTAGAAAATATTCCCGAAAATAAACTTTTGGTACGTTAATAATTACGTTAGTTGACATAGAAATACTATTAAAGTATATTATTTAATGTTATAATGCCAATAAAGCATAATTTTTAAATTGTAAATAAAATAAATATACAATGTTTAATGGTGAGTAAAATTGCTTTAAAAAAATGATTGCTTTCTCTATCATTAAACTTAGTACAGGATACGTTAAATTGATTTTATTTTACTGATCAATCGTATCAATATACTATAAACAAACATATCAATTTTAATCATCAAATTTTGATTTATAAACATATTTTTAAATTTAATAATTGTATGTGGGATTAATCAATTGGTTTTGAAAACCAATAATTCCGTCCATCCTTTGGGTTACTATTTATTTTATTTATGAGTTCATCATTGTTTACATTCTAAACATTAAACGATTGTCAGAGCATAATGTTTTGATTTTATGTTAATTATTAAACATTTAAGCAAAAAATGTTCATTAATATATAATCAAATTATGCTAAGTTATGTTATTATTACCGAACTATTTGTAAAATTATTATTTTCTGATGGTTTTTTCTACTACTAGCTTTTTATAACAGTCAACTTATAAAAATGTTCTGCTAGATATATTTTTGAACCTAGACTCATGATGAATATTTTGGTTTTATATTATTTTTTTTTAGAACACTGTTAATATTTTATAATTTATAAGATAATGGTTTAGGCTCTTTTATGCCATATAAACTTTTTTTTGTTGTTTTTATACGTCATGGTGTACTTTGTATTCGATAAAGGATCAGTGATTTAGCAGGGCTCAGATAACATAGATTGTGAATCGCAATTTAAGTGTTTTTATAGTATTTTTTTTTTTTTATAACTACTCAACGTACAAGCATATACCGCACGTGCGTCACAACTATAAACTGAATTCAAAAATATTTCATCTTTCACTTTCTCTAAAACATAACCATCATCTAATTTTGGTATCAAGTTTGTATACGACGTCATAAATAGCACGAGTTTATGCTCTGAATTTGTTAACTTAGATTAGGTTCCGAATCCCCGGTGGAAGAAACTCGATCTCGAAAGATATTTTACATGAGAACAATAAGGTTTAATTGTTTAGAAACGAACCCTCTCAGGAGAACCATGACACGAGCCAATAAATTATCTAAATATTTGGAACTTTAGAGATTATTATCGCAATATAATATTTAGAAGTTTAGCTGTTGATATAATATTATATTATATGTGCCTTCTATCTTTTGATATTACTTAAAACTATAGTTATATGGTTATATTGTATATTTTGTAAAACTCAAGAGTCAATTATTATCTAAAGTTAAAAACTGTCTTTATATTTTAGTTTAATTTACCAAGTAATATTATTATGATTTTATACTCTTCATCCATCGAGAGCTCAACAACTATATCATTAAACAAAATAGTTACATATTATATCGAGACCATTACACTTAATACTGCAATTTCGTTCGTTAAATTTTATTTACAGCTATTAATCGAAATTGGTAAATTAATTTTAATGGATCCTTGAAACTCATTTCGAAATAATAGCAATAATATTTAAAAATATCTAAGCACAAACCATTTAATTTTATTACGCAACAAATATATTGTTTTAGATTCATCCACAAATAACAGATGTTTATTCAACTGGAAAACTTGACCACTATTATTAATAAAGGATATAAACTATAGAAACAAAGAAAATTACTTTGCTCGTAAACACTCTTGACAAAATCCAAAATGTAACTAATAAAATGCTTTTACCAGTTATAAAGCCGATAAATGTAATGTATGTGAAACTTGAGATCAGGGACTGGAACCGAACCTAAAAGAACAGGTTCTGAAACCCAAAAACCCCTAAAATATTAAGAACTGGAACTTAACCGGAACCGAATTTTTAAATTTTGAAATAACCGGAATCGAACCGGAACCTATACTTAAAATGAAAAATATCGGGTTTCATAAAAACTATCCATTTCATTTATTCTTAAAATATTGAATTTTCAGTTTAATTCTTACTTTTACAATATATTATAATAAAAGTAGCGAATACCCATTAATAAGCATCGATCGACGTATGGCCATACTGGTGGTGATGTAATGGTTCGTGGTAATACGTGTATTATGAAAACGGCTCTAAATCTAATAATAGTATTTCTGTATTATTGAATTATTGTTGTATTTATATTTCTTGTGAATATGACGTGATTGAGTTCTAATAATATATTGTATAAGTAAGTGGTTTTAATTGATAAATTTTGAAAAATTGTTTTCTTATTTATTGATATTAGTAAAATAATGTATGAATCACGATTTTGAAAATGATGCCTCAACTTATGTGTCTTTCATTGCTTGATTTTAACTTGAGTCAGCATTGATTGCGATATAGCAGTAGAGTTAATGAATGTTATTTCGAATTACATGTATTTTCATACATATGGTATGCCATATCTATTACTCAGAATCTAGGGCTTAAACAATAAAAATTATTATTTGTCTATATGAATGTATATATTATTTCCAGATATACATTTTTTCATTCATAAATGAATTAGTATTTTTGTACCGTACTACCTACTCTGTTTATAATTATGGCATATTATATAATACCTTGACAATTTAAGGATTATTTGCATTTACTTGTGAATGGTTATTGTATATATTTTGTATACCTAATTCGTAGACAATAAATATGATGATGGTATTATCGATATTGCTGATAGGTAACACATGTACAACTAATTTATGTATAGGTACCTTCAAAAAATTAAACACGTCATATAATAAAAAATTTTTTTTAAAAATAACTTTTGGTACCCCATTAAACCGTAACCCTAATCCTAACCCTTATTTTGAATTTTTCAAAAACTGGAACCAGAACCTGAACCTTTAAATGAAAAAATTGTACCGGAACCGTCACCATAACCGAAAAAATCAAAAGGTACCAATCCTTGCTTGGAATATACATTATTTATGATTGGTTATTGTAATAGTTGTAGTATATACAATAATATTATACAGTTCGATATGTTCACATCCATGAATGTTTTTTTTTTAGTTTTTAAACTATAATCTCATGTTGCCAGTTATGATTTGAACAAGTCATTAAAATTATTGATACATTATCTGTTTCATACCGAACGATAGGGATATGCAATATGTTTTAATTTTAATGAAATATAAACTGATAGGATATCGTCTCCTTATAAAATTATATTCATATTATATTATATGGAACATTGAGTTCATTCATACAACAACAGAATTTTGCGTATTCTATGTATTTTGTTAACAAGAATACATTTTTCTATAAAATGTTTTCGGCCATGAATTTACGGCTCGTCGTGAATTTTGAGAATTTTTTTACATTTAACTTGGCTTTCTTAATTTTTTTTACGATAGTACTACTAGATGTAGTATATATTATAAAGTACAATAAGACAGCACTAACTCTTATTTATTGAAAATAATCTCAAATTGCAGGTAACTACTTTGAGTTTTCATCTTATATTTGCTATGCCTAAGTTCTAATTTATGTATGCATTCATTCTACTTACAAAAACTTCAAAGTACTTCCGAGTAATTTTATTTTTTATTTTAATATAAAAACTTTTTTTAAGAAAAATAAAATAAAATGCTAAAGTTTTGATTAGATAACTCATTGACATAAAATTAAATTGATACATTTTTTAAATTAGTTTTCATTATTTATTTATTTATTTAAACGAGATGAGCCCAATAACGATTTGTAAAGTTATTAGATTCGCAATTTAAATCTATTTGACTGAATGAAAGTAAAAAATAATTATAAAACAATTAAGATATAAAAATGAATTATAAATATAATTTATTAGTATTAATATTGTTATTAAATATATATAACTTTTATTTATAAATATATATTTATCCCAAAATTTAATTCACAATTTAAATTTTAATTCAATTTTCTGTCAACCCTGTAAAATATAAACAAAATTATTCATTTTAAGTATTTTCAAATGAATTTAAGACTTTCAATCAATTTTATTAAACAATTTAAATACATATTAGTATGCATAAATAAAATACAATAAAAATCATTAATACTTCTAAAGAAGCTGGGTCAGTTGTTAATTAAATTTTAATTTAACTCAAAAATGAAAATGTTCTAATTTAATATAAAACTTTTAAATAACATATTACTATCATACGAAATATTATAATATGATCATATAACATAATAATTATGTTTGAAATTTTAAAATCTGGTAAGTCGTTATCTCTAATTGCTTAAACGAAGTTTTATGTTTTATTAACTATATTAGTTCGTATTAATTTATAAAATACAATGACTACAAACCAATAAAATTAATTTAATTAACAAATTAATAAACATCTTTCTTTTTATAAACACTCGTAAAATTTTTGGACATGGCTTATTTTAACACCCGACAAAACAACTTTGCCTTACATACAGTTTTCAAGTGATAAATATATATGTACTGATCTTATTAAATACATTTAAATGGTCACAAAAAAAAAAAAAAAAAATATTTCCAAGTTTTTGTTTACTGTCTATAGAAAACCAGATAAATTCGAAAAATTATATCCTTATAATACTATTTTTATTCAATTTTAGATTAAAAAAAAAAAGTAGCATATAATTTTTAGTTCAGATGATTTAGATCATTTTTAAACCAATACAAACTTTGCACGATAAGTGTATATATTCCTAAATACTGTAATGCAGCTATATGTGTATATATATTTTAATGTATATAATTAATAAAATACATTCGGATTAAAGTAACCATATAAAATTTGTTTACAGCAATAAATTTTACATGTTATTCCACCTCTTATCATAATTTTTCTTCTTATGTTTAACAATATAAATTAATAAAATGTCTAATTTCTTCTAAGTTTAATTTAAATACATATTTTAAGTATTTCAATATACCAAAACAAAATAATTAAATCAGATTTTTGATCATTTGGGCATTGTGTCGATAAAATTGTATTAATCGAAACCTGATATACAAGTACCTTATTTCAAATATTTGCACAAATAATTAATGTTTTCGTAAAATATGTTTTAATCCAGTTAACTGTCGTGTTTATCATTATATATAATTTTAAATTTTTTATACTTGTTCTTTATAAAATAAAATTTTAATTAAATATCTGTTGGTAAATAGTAATTAAACAGAATAAATTTTCATAAATGAATTTCAGGTACTGCCGGGCAATGTAAATACCTATTTGTCTGTCAATCAAGAATTTGAACTACCATTCGTGGCGAGTAGAATACGTTTTGTGCCCTTCAGTGCTCATCCTAGAACCGTTTGTATGCGGGTCGAAATATACGGATGTCCGTGGGAACGTAAGTACCTTATTTATTTTCTATTAAGTAAACCGTAACGTTAACTGAAAAAGGATTAAAATATTTGGCGATTGCGTCAGAAAGAAGATGGAGTGCTTATATATTACAATCTTAATATTATATGTATGGAGAAAAGAGGAAATGTTATGCAGTTTGTTCTAAAACTTTATCACTGTTAGGTGGGTTAGAGTAATGCACTATGATATTAAGCTCTTAGGACTCTACATAGTACTTATCATCTTTGGGTTTAAGAGATATACTACTTGAAACAATTTAATATCCGTGTGTTTAGTTAACGTAAGCAATGCAAAAAATAAATCCAAAGAACGCGTATTGTTTTTTAACCACTGTTTCATATGAACAGAAATGGGTGATTGTTACATACAAAATTCGATATAATATCAATGTCGCATTCATCGTTTCATAATAACGTGAAACAAAATTCGTCACCGTATCTATCACAAGTTTACTTTACCTTCTCATATTACCAAGGTCTTAAAATATATTATACACAGTGTTGATGTAAAAACCTAATAATATTGCATTATTAACCATTTATAATTTATGACTTATAACATTGTGAAACTAGATATTCCTATCGCGTTATAACTTACCAGGTAATGCAAATAATAATAATTTGAAACGGCGTCATTTGACACGATGTTTGATACTGCAGTGTTATGGAGTAGGTAAATAACAAAAAAAAAATTCAAAAGTGAAAATCGTATCTACTATCATATTTGTGTAAACTATGAGGGTATTAAAGTTTATTTCGAATACAAAACATTAAAGTTCATATTATAACATACATTTTTCTTTTTCTTCTCCTTCGCCTTCCTATTATAACATATATTGATCACGTTTTTCTACGTATTCACACAAGAACACACTGTTAATTGAGATAATTTTAATTATTCAAGGAATTTTACTTTTAAAATAACTATATTATTATTAAACGACCATTATAATTTTTATTTTTATTAAAATATATTATTTTTGTGATAACATAATATTAAGAAGTATCCAAAAAAAGGAAAGACAAATATTACTCTGAAAGTTAAAATATTGCTTTGTTAAACGAAAATAGGTCATTTAGAACCCTTTTTTTTTATAAAATGAAAACGATGGTGGAACAAATTTCGAAAATCGATAAAATTCGATAATTAATTTTATTTCATTTTAAATGACGTTAAATAAAATAACTAAAAAAAGCTGATGATTTTTCAGCGACAGACATTTTTTTTTTTTTTTTTTGAAGAAAAAGAAATTATTTTTAATGTCAGTGCGTAAAATCACGTTGTCATTTTTTAGTAATTTCAAAGGACGGTTTCGTGTCTCTCTTCCGTCATCCGTTAGTCAGCATGTATCAGTATTTTACGCGTCTTGTCATAGCTTATATACTGCTGCGGCAGTGGTTATAGTCGTTGGCGAGACTGCGACGGAATGCGAATGCTAAAAGAGAATTACATCATACCGTGGGAAAGGAGTGAGAGGGTTTCGAGACGGAAAGATTTTTGTCAAAGGCCATTTTATAATATGATGTATTTGCGGTTACCGTAAATAATATTCGAAACTTTTTCTCTACGACTCTGCGATATACACATACATGCCATACAAACGCGCGCGCGCGCGCACACACATACACACACACACACACACACACACACACACACACACACAGACACATACACAGTTGACTAATGGAGCTTTTGAACGGATGTCCACATAATAGGCATTGGTTCTACCCCTCATCTCTGTCGTTCTGAATCAGCGTTGCCATATAGCGACCTACAGTACAAAATATCACAATTTTCAACCTTAAATACGGTTTGTATATGTGACATGGGTATATCGTCATTGTTGTTGTCGTCATCGTTTTTCTACGTAACAGTTGTCGACCAATTATTTATTTTATTACACATATATATATATATATACATATAAGTATTGTATCCTTTTTAATTGGCCGCTCTACACGTATATATAAACTATCGTAAAAGCTAAAGCTGAAACTCACTACCCGAAAAAAAAAATACTCCAGTGATGTATGGTTTTTTTTTTTACATAAAATTTGCTATTTTACCATTTGTATTGATGTCCCCAGATAATTGTTATGAAGTTTTTCATGGAGTGAACTCTGTCTACATAGACACATAGTCAATAAACGCATATAATGGTCATAAAAATTAAATTCGACAACAATAATATTAGTAGTCCGTTGAAAAAAACTTTATAGGTCAATTCACAACATCATCGTCATTATATTATTATCTTTAAGAACTTCTGTATAGGCGTCTGACAATAAATTCAAAACTTATAACAAGGTATCATTACCATATTTAAAGACCATAATTTAAGTGTAAAGTACTCGAAAGCACTGCTCAGAAGTCTGCTTATTACAACTGAAGTTCACCGACTTAAAATACAACTGCTTATTATAAAGTTATTTTATTCGTACACACCAATATTTTTTTTTCTTTTCATTGAAATAATTATAAACTTGTACCGATACAATTTTCATTTAGAATTTATACTCCATAATTTTCTTAGATATTTTGTATGTTTATTTTTGTACAAATTTACTATTCATGTGATGTACAGCTGTGAATAATATTTATATGGAAATAAAATCGTTTACTTTTTAAAATAATTCAACACACAAGATTTAATAACTTATATAGATTTAAAATATAAAAGTAAAAGTTTTCCTAAATTAGTTTTTATTATTTATGAAAATACAAAATTTTATGTTAGCGGCCTGATATAATTCCAATTCGTCCATTACAATCAGTTTAAATCACATTAAGCATTAGCACAATATCCAATTGTATATTTTTATACCCTTTTTTCTGACTTAATAATTTGGTTAGTAAAAATGCATAGGAACAAGATAAACTTATTGCTATTACAATTTTAAAACTTTACAAATAAAATATATTGTTCCTTTCAATTATTTAAAACTCATAGTTACCCAATTATAATACTTAATTAATTATAAATTTATAAAAATTATATCAATTCATGTTGTTCTTTAGCTTTTTTCTATTATTATTTAAAGAAAAAACTGCTAAAAAGCGTATGAAAAATATCAATACTAAATTATATTACTATTCACGAATTAAAAAAAGAAACTGTGTGAACGCTGTAATTTTATTTCAATTTTTCATATTCTAACATCGTAAGAATTCCTGTTTAAAGCATAATAAATGTGCGAGTTTCCAATAGTGGTGATTTATTAAACATTTATATATGTTTAATAATTTATTTACTTATTATGTTAATCGACTTGGAATCTAATTTAACAAAAATAATAACTTTAAGAATTATTAAAGTTCTATCTACTCCAGCTACATAACAACTGTTAAGGTTTACTTTTGATCACATTAAACTGTCATGTCATAGTTTATAAAATTAATATTAGTTTATTTTCTATAAAAGAAACTATAGAATTTTAAATTTACTATACATTTCAAAAATATTGTTATTTGAGAGTAAAACATAAATTGTTTACTCATTTGAATATTTTAATTTATTTACACTAATCCGTATTAAAAATTTATTTCAAATTTTATTTTTTATATACAAAATCTGTAACGTTTAAATGTATAAGCTATATTATAATACAGTATTAAAAATGCATGTATTTAGACAGTTTTTAATTTTGGAAAATTAATCGACATCTATTAATTTTACAACGTTTTCTTCAACAAATTTCAAACTAAGCTATAAATGTTATTTATTTCAGCTTCCATAAAGTTCTACGTACCATAAGAACAAACTTGTATATTTAAGAAAATAATATAATTTACTTGATGAATAGTGTGCTCCATTTTAATGCCGGTTATAAGTTACTGTTAAAAATATTTTTATTTCCTTTTTCTTTATAATAATATTTATATTATGTTTTAATACAATTTTTAAATTACTCTTACATTGTTATAATATTATTTAAATTAAGGGTTTTCGTAGTATAGTACTGCAACGTTTTAAATAATCGTTATTGTTATTTTAATTAGAAAAGGGTGTATAATTACAATTTTAAATACGAGGAAATTGTTCACCGCCTATCTTTATCCGAGCAAATTTTCTCCGCATAACATAACCCCATATCATAACGATTAAATCGGAAAAATAATATAAGTAGCAACATTTAGGATAGGTGATGTGTTTAGTAGTTTAACATCATTTAACAATGATATTCTTATCGGAATTCAATTACATCACAGATAGTCCATCGTATGTTAGTACCGGTCCTACCGGTGTGAACTTCGATAGTATTGTAATCCGTCTTCGTACGTGTACTATACGTGTTTGTCGAATATTGAACGACCGCACGAGATCGCGGTGTACTGTCATTCATATTATACGACTACATGGTTATGTTGAGAAGAACGCGCACAACTTTGAACATGTCAAAAGATCATCACTGCAATGGCGGCGACTGTTGTACAACGGTTTTTGCAAAAAGGTTTTGTGTTTGAAACCAAAATACATACGTCACACATACATTTTTTGTGTGTGTATTTGCTAATTTAATAATAATAATAATAATATAGTATATCTAATTCTTTCTTTCACATCATTTTCGGCTTATCATATAATTAACGGGTTGAAGTCTGAAGGTCTGAAACACCGCGGAAATGTCGTCGGACGGTCATGCACACATGCGTGATAAATATCAACCGTCACCACCGTGACGCACTTTCACACTAAAGGGTTGAGTCGAACACACACAAGCACAACATATAATACTCTATCCGTATATACATAAAGTATAGTACATGTGGTGCACACAAGTGTATGTGTATCATTAGACGCATATAATACCATGGGCGGCTAAAGCGATTATCAGAGTCCAAAGTCACGTAATGTGTGATGCCACCATAAACACAATATCTTATATTATTATTATTATTACTATAATATGCTGCTGGCAACAGACTCGTTTATGTCCACGCACACACAATCACACACGTCCGTTACTTGTTTTTCCATTATGG